TAGTACTTCCCCCCATCTTGGCGAGTAGTTTTATGTGGGATGATAGCCATTTTCTTCAGAATATATAGATATAACACTGGTATATTTCCTTTTTTTCTTTAACCTTTTCCTTTTTAACATAGTTTCATATCATCAATTTTCCTGTAAGAAATTTACTAAGTACCATAATTGAAGACCACGTATGGTGTATAGACGTTCATTATGAGGTTGGGCCTCATTATTTCCCATTCTTTTGGGTGTCCAAGCTGTTCCAAATTATATTTGAATGCATTGTCGAAAGACGTGCACTTTTACCCGTGTTTTAGCAATGCCATGCCAATGTTGGGGTAAATTTATATTTTGGTACCTAAACTTGCATAAAGGTTCAATTTGGTACCTATATTTTCTTCAACTACCTAAAATTAGCTTCCCAGGTTTAATTTGGTCCCATTAAGTACATAAATTTGGCTTGATACTTGTGACTTTTTTTTTATCTAAATCGGGATAATTGACCTATTTGAATCAATTTGAACAATAAAATCAATTTCATGTTCCAATTTAAATAGAAAAACTTAATTTGGATATCTAATTGGATAAACAAATTAGGCTTCAAACTAAACCTTAAATCAGTATCAAAAATATATTTGTACCCTTAAAGTCAAAACGCAATCATCATGCTGTTTCCTCAGTTTGGTCTAGTTAAAATATTCATTTGTTGTTTTATCATCCAGGTCAAACATTCATACAATGAAAATAAGATAATTATAAATCTTTTCGAATGCTAAAGACGGGAGAAAAATAACTTTCCAAAGTTATAATTACAGTGTCCTTTGGAGACAATTATTAGTGTGAAACAGAGAATCACATATCAATGGATGCTAACCTTCATTTAAAGACAAAGGAACTAAAGTGTTGACAATTGAGCAAGGATCATCACTAGTGATTGAGTTGAATGAAGTCATAGAAGCAGGTGAAGAGATGACAACATTGATTACAAAACAAAATCGCTATCAATCACATGGAAACCCCTGGTTGGTCGGCTATTTTAATCTCTAAAAACTAATTCCCACTCCTCGATGTGGGAAACCAAGGCTTCCCATTGGGTGCAACAATCTGGAGCCACCGTGGCTTATAAAAGCGGCTTCTTAGAGAGCAAGAACATGGAAACACATTGCCAGATTCGAAGCAAACAGGTGCCCCTCACATGGAGAACCCACATATTCCCGTTGAGGTGGTCCAATCTCTTCCTCCATGTTAGCTTTATATTTGTTAATTTGGACACCACAACGGATTCTGATTTGTTGAATCGGAAGGAGGGGTTTGTATTAAAATAATCCCCCCCCAACAACGTGAAGACTGTGCCTTAAATTTCTTGAAGACTTAAATTCTCATCTTCACAAGATTCGGCTGATTTTGCTTAATTATGTTTCGTTAAGCCTCGTGAACTTTACGTTGTTTCCGACGTAAAAAACTGGATCTTATGAACATGAAAGAGTTTAGCTTAGCCACGAAACTACAGTTGTCATCTAACAAAGCCATAATTGTAGTGGTAAAAAAATGAAACATGTTAGACTAATTTCGGTAAAATATGAATCAATAAGTCACAATGGTGAATGCATCAACCAAAACCGTCTAATAATATAATGAGATAAATTGTTTCAACGGTAAAAGACAAAATTATTGTTTTCTAGACTTTTTAGTTCGAACAATTTTATATATAGGGTATGTATGTTGTCAATAGATTAAAAAATCCTAAATAAATACGACTTTAAAATAATTTCAAACTATTAAAAAACGATATTTAAGAAAAGATTCCAAATTTTTTGTCACGTATTTTTTAACGTTAAGGTTGTTTTCATTGGGCTTAGTTGTTTAGTAAGAGAAGGTTTGGCTAAATTTGATGAGATAGATGAAAGTAACGTGAAGACGAGGATGCGAGCTAATTTTGGACTAGTGCAAAAGATTTGATGAGAGATAAAGATTTTGTTCTTTAAACAACTTAGAATATTCAAAATTATTAAATGCAAAAAATCATTAAAAAATAAAACATATATAATTTTCAAAATCTATATTTTGAACTTTTTTTTTAAGAATTATAATGTATGTTTAATTAATTTATTTTCCATATCCAAGAACGGCTTGGATAAGATTTGTGTTTTCAAGATTATATATACACACACATGAAGCTAATATTAAATAAGAAACCACCTTTTATCGGTAAACTAATGTATTATACGAGGAGCATTGCAGAGGAGACAAGTGAAGCAACAAATGGATTCATGGGATTTAGGTGTGCTAGTGGATGCTATGGAGTGGTAGAGTAGGGTCTCTTATTTTTCCCACTACCCATAAATATGAATGAACCCCATCAAACGCTGCCATGCGCCTACTTTTCTACTTTCTTTCCCCCCCTTAAATTTCGTATAGGTTTTTAAAGGTTTAAATATGTATAAGTAGAGCAAGCGGGTGATTCTGATGTTGATCTTTATTATCTCGTATTCTCTCAAGTCATGAGTTTTAGATTCATTAAGATCATTCTCTTTTCTTTTTCTATAACTCTTCCTTCCTCCTCCTCTCCGCTCTAGGTAAAATTAGGATTAAATTTAGAATTTATCGAAAAAATGTATCTAGTATTTAAATTAGACATATTCTTTTATGTTCCTATTTGAAGAATTCTTTTATTAAATGAACAGTCGAATTTTAATTCCATCCATGGTTTTGGTATTTTAATTAAGGTTTAATGTAAATATAAGTACTTAAATTATGTTCTTTTTTGTTTTAGGTATCTAAATTATTTTTTTATCACATTAAGTACTTAAACTATTATATCTAATTGTTTTAAGTCTTAACATTTTTTTCGTTAGAAAATTATTTTTACCAAAAAATATCTTAGGGTCTTAAAGAAAAAAATGAGTATAGTTTAGGGACTTATTTTGACCAAAAAATAATTTAGATACTTAAAGTGATTATATATAATAGTTTAAGGACTTATTTTGACCGAAAAATATTTTAGTTACTTAAAGTAAAAAAAATGGTATAGTTCAAGTATTTTATTAGTTTAAGTCTTTTATTAATGATGTTAACTTTTGATGATATAATAACATGAAATTATAATGCGTGTCAATGATGATACATCATGTGTTTTTATATAAAATATATGTATATTATAAAAGATATTATGAATATTCATTTTTAAATATATTTTTTATAAAAGAAAATAAAAAAATCTCATTTATTGTATAAAACACTTTAAAAGTTTGTTCGTTTGAGTATCAATTTAAAGATAAAAAATCATTAGGTGTCAATTTAAGAAAAGATGTCTAATTTAAGTACCGAATGTATATTTAACCGTTTTTAAATTATAAAATGAATATAAAACGAGAATAAGAAAATGAATCTAAGCCGGTTAGATTTGAGTGGTATATCCAAATGCCTTTAATTGTAAATGGTGACTATGCAGTTCAACAATTAATATTACTGCTGGGCCTGCTTCATGAGAAAATGAGCATGGAGTTCAAGACGAGGCAAATTAAGATGTAGAAGACGGTTGATCCGTTGGTACATTGACTTGGAACCCTATAAACAAGAGCTCCCCCGGTTAAGACACGCCCTGACCCTATTTCTTTGGGGTAGGTCCCTCCTACAATTCCCCGTGCATTTTCACTCTCTCCCCGTTAAAACAAATTAATTTAAAAGCTTAAAATTAGAGACGTTGATTCGATATCAGTTAAAAAGTTTAAAATTTTGAAATTTAAAAGTGAGGACGTTAGATACCATCAACTATCCCTTATGAAAAGATTAAAAGTGAGGGTTTTAGATACCATCAAATATATTTTATGGAAAGATAATGATTATGTAACGAGTGATATCATAGTTATTTAATTTTATATTAAATGTTTTAACAAATGAAATAAAGTAAGATAAACAATTATAATAATATTTCGTGACGAAAAACGTCACGAGATTGAAGGTTACAACAGCTCACCATATCAGTCAAATAGATGGTTTGACCCTTCTTTCACTCATTCTCTCAAGAGCCAACGGTGAGCAAGCATGGAACCAAAATTAGTAACGGTAGGCAGCTCCCCCTTCTTTCAGTTCCAACCACAAACAACGCCTGCTTTCTGTTTGAACGCTTGTTTTTATGTACATACACACTTTCTCGTAGTTTTATAAAATGAATAAAATGTACGTTAGATGGTAGTACAAATGCCATTTTAAGACTTTACAAGGTGAAACTAACAAATCAGATCCCATGAAAGAGACCTTAGGATTCACAAAGTGAACATTCTCTCTACTTTCTCTTCTTCTTTCCGTTTCCTACGTGTCTTGTCATCGTCTCAAGTACGTTAGAAAGTACACTTTTTTTAATGGAATGGGGAGAGATGGAGACAAGGGATTTTTAGGGACTGAAAGAAGAGATCGAGAAGAGGCACCAACTACTAAATGGAGGACACTGTAATCTTTATAATGCAGGCTTTGAATTCTCAATATACATTTAAGAGAGAGAGAGAGATCGTGGGCTGTTGGAACCCATGATGGAGGGGAACACATCAAAATTTGATAACTCAAAAAAAAATAATTCAATATTAAAAGTCTTGATTCATGATTTCATAAACTTAAGTTGAACTAAAAATATTTTAGGTAAAATTCGTGTTATAAATAGAAGTCGAATAATTCAAAAAATTTAAATAGGTTGATTTTAAAATTATAACTAGATTCATTCTATATAATATATGTATATTACCCATAAAATAATATATATATATATATATGATTATAAAAATCTATTTAAATTAAAATTAATTAGTTTTATAATATTATAAATATTTATAATTAAATTTAAATAAAAAGTCAAACAACTCAACTTAACTTAAAAAAAATTAAAAAAAAATAAATTATAAAATAAAAATCTTCTCGATTCATTCAAATATTATAAATTTACTCAACTCAACACAATTCAATCAAATACTCTATGCAACACCGTCCATGCCTTTGATCATCTAACCCGAACCCAACAACACATTTGACTACACCCCAAAAACAATCCAAGTACTCCCTCAGATCTAAACCCATAAGCCACCTCTACCTCTAACTCTACCCTTTTCTCTTCCTTCCAAACCAAAACTTATCTTCTTACAAGGGAAGCAGATCACTTCCATGAACTACCAATGAATAACATGTCATCTCAACTCACATGGAAGAGTGGATAAGATAGATAGGCTTGATTCAGCTTCAAATTTGGTGGCAGATTCTTCAAATCACTTCTATTTCCCTTTTTTGGTGAAACCTGTAGATATTCAACTATTCAAAGTAACCTGCAACTATTCAAACTCTTCTGATCTATCGGAATTCAGTTGATTCTTGTACTTAAGGTTTGAAATTTGAAGGGCAAGAACAAAAATGGATCCAATAACAACTCATGGACGACACCTCCCTCCTTTCCTCGCTAGAGATCTTCATCTGCATCAATTCCAACAACACCAGCAGCAGCAGCAAAGTTCCGAAGACGAGCAAAACCATGGTCAGAAACGAGATCGAGAAGAAACAGCCGCCACCACCGAGACCGACACGGGAGGAGGGAAAGAGTTAGCCTTATCCGAAGGCGAAAACACTAGAAGACCGCGCGGCAGGCCTACCGGTTCCAAGAACAAGCCTAAGCCACCGATCATCATAACCCGAGATAGCGTCAATGCTCTCCGGTCCCACGTTATGGAAATCTCCACCGGCTGTGACATCATGGAAAGTGTTTCCACTTTCGCCAGGCGAAAACAAAGAGGGGTTTGCATTCTCAGCGGGAGCGGAACCGTAATGAATGTAACCTTGAAGCAACCTGGAGCTCCTGGTGCAGTCGTGAATTTACAAGGAAGGTTCGAAATTTTATCGCTTTCTGGGTCGTTTTTGCCTCCCCCGGCTCCAGCGGCTGCATCTGGATTGGCCATATATTTAGCAGGTGGTCAAGGTCAAGTAGTAGGAGGAACCGCGGTGGGTCCACTTGTTGCTTCGGGTCCGGTTGTGGTTATGGCAGCTTCTTTTGGTAATGCGGCGTATGAAAGGCTTCCATTGGAAGAAGGAGAAGAAGAAGAAGAACAACAACCAGTGGAGCCGCCTATTCCTGGAAGCGGAACCTTAGGTTCACCGGGAAGCATGACCACTCAACAACAACAACAACAGCAACTATTGCAAGATCCCAATGGATCTTTTGCTCAAGGATTGCTACCAAATCTTCTAAATTCAGTCCAAATGCCAGCCGAAGCCTATTGGGGCACAGGCCATCCCCCTTATTAACAAAAAAACACAGAAAATTTCGTGTTTTCCTTCTCCTTCTTTTCCTCTTTAATTATCTTTTTTCACTCCTTGTTAGTTTATTCTTCTTTCTTTTATTAAATAGTTGATGTTTTAAGTTTGATCATCATGGCTTTGATTTGTAGAAGGATATGTGCAAATTTCCTGGAACATTTCTCCCTGCTGTGGGTTTTTTTTTCCAGTTGTATTTCTATAAAAAGGTAGCCTTTTTCTCAGTTTTGCTCATCATAGTAGCTTAACGATTGAGAAGCACCAGAAGTGACTACCCTAAATCCCAATTTTTTTTTATGATAGTTGTTTATTTTATTAGAAGTGAGCATTTTAAAATTTTATTTGTATTTATTCTGAAATTTAATTTTTTTTATGTTAATAGTTTATTTTATTAAAGATGTTTTTTTGTTCATTTCATATAAAAAAAATCGTTATTAATATATGTATCTATGTTGAAAAATATTTTTGGATCCAAAGCATGCAAGTCATTTCTCTTTGCTGGAAGAAAGGCAAAGGAGATGGGAGGTTATGGGCTTAGGGTTTTGCTGTCTTTTCCTTGCTTTGATAATGCTATAGGTTTCATTATGGAATCAGCCTGTTCGGTTACACGTGCGCTGCTCTGCAAGATAAAGAAGAAAGCTCCTTTCCGAGGAAACCATTTCCATTTCCTTGTATAATTCCCATGTAAAAATGCCAAGCAAAGCAACACCAGTAACAAGCACGACAAACTGGGTCTGAATCTGATCCTCAAGAATTAAAGTTTCATCTTTCTCGAGAAAATAAAAACTGTCCCTGCCATTATTCGTGTAAAATGGCATGGACTGAATCAATTAGACAAGGTAAGTACATGTTCGATTTTTACTTCTTATAATAGAATAATTGATAAAGATATTGCTTTTATTCTCATTGAATTATCAGATTTTTTCCCACAGTTCATCAAAATTAGTTGCATGTAGACTTTAGGGTTTAGGTTTTAGAGTTTTAGGTTGTTTAAAGTTTATAGTTAAAGATTAAAACAACTAAGATTATGAAGTACAAATTTTAGATGGTAAATGCATCAAAAGAATTTCCTTTATAATTACTTGCTCTTAATTTTCATTGATCCTCCTTGGCAGTACATGCATAGCATGCAGACCCTCTTTTAGGTGGTTCTCACAGTGAAAACAAACCCTAAATTTATTTCTTTCATTTTTTCCCCTTTTGAAAATCTAACCTCGTGGAATTTATTTCTGATTACGTGAAGGAAAAGCTGTTTCTTCTAACCTGTTTACAGGATTCATGTATATTTTGTGTATATATTGGTAATGGGGTCAGAGAAAAATAGAGGTCAGGTTCCTCATGATTAACATGGATCCTTTGATTCCTCGAAGTACATCACACTTCAGGAATTATTACAATGTAAAATATTAAGATTCCTTTGTCCATTTCATTTTCTGGTAGCTATCTCATGAAGTGAAACTGAAAGAGCAAAGCATATATAATTGCCACATTTTAGACTATCAATTAATTAACGGCCTCCACCCTTACCGGTTTAATACTATATTATATAATATATGCCTATAATCTCATAGTACATTAAAGTTTGTCCCAACATTGTCCGCAAGCTCTTTTATAAAATTTATTACATAATTTTTGGATGATCTGTTTTTTTTTTTGAAAAAAATTAAAACTAAACTTATACACTTATGAAAACTACCTTATTTAAATTCGGATCATTAAAAGAGAGCAACTTTTTTTAACTACTAACACCGCTCTAGGGTTCATAATTTTTAACTATAAATATATTCCAGAGTTGGATTATCTTTTTAAACTTCTCAATTATGAGATATTTTCGATAAAAAAAAGTATAATATGACATGGATTAAAAAACAAGGTAAATTACAAATTTTGTCACTAATTTTCATTTCTCTCTTAGTCACCAAACTTTTAAAATAATGTGATGATGTACAATTTATGTTAAAATGATATTATTTTAAATTATTAAAAAAAATATGACACCGTTTTATATATAAAAATATGTCTTTTTTATATTTTTTTTTATTTTTCTATCTCTCATTTTCTGCCTCTACTAGAACCAACTTAGATTCAAGTCACTTTCGTCGCATTCAACCATTGCACCGATCATTCATTTTGACCATCATCGATGATAATCAATGAATTTAAAAAAGTTCCATCAAACTCTACTCGTCCTCCTAAACACAAACTAAATGTCATTTCATTGTAAAATATCTCAAATTTCACGAATCCATTGAACACTTTAATTTTTTTATTCTTTGATCTTTGTTGTCTATTGTTAGATGAAGTTTTTGGATAGAGGTATATGTTGCTCCCCACCTCACTAGGAGTCTCTCCACCATCGGAATTGTTATTTTTAATTATTAAATCAAATTAAATTGAAATTTTAAATTTATCTCATAATGTATAAATTTAATTCTCAATATTTATAATATATATATATTATTTATTAAAGATGCTAAGACTAAAATTAAATTAATATATTATACAAATATTAAATTTATTGTCACAACAATTAAGGTTAAATATAATCAATGAAAAATATTAATATTAATCAGTCATCCTTAATTGCTGATTAACCAATTTACCCAATTATGAAATTGAAAGACTAAAAGGTCCGCAATCTTTCCTCTAAACCCATCCGATTGTCCTGCAGATTTTCCTCTCTTGCTTCCGTAAACTTAACCCACCAATGGTTCTTGCTTTGATCTTTCATTAGCCCTCAATTGTGAAGGGGTCTTCCCATCACTGGACTCTCACTAATACAAAATCAACTAGTGTCATCTTCACCCCATCAAATTACGTGGTCAGTGGCCGGATAATCTACTAGTTCATTGGATTTGAAGAAACTAGAGAGGCAAAATAGAGAGGCATAATAAAGAATGAACGACTAGTTTAATTCTAACACATAATCAATGAGTTCCCCTTTCAACAAAACGAAATTTTGACTTAACAGCCAGCAAAATTTTTCGTCACCCCAACCTTTTCACCTGCAGGAACTTCAATGAATAGCCTAGAAATAAATAAATAACATTACAAACCACCGTAGATTTTTGCTGTGGATGCTCTTTCAGAGCTGAGAATATTACATTAATCTCTCAACCTCGAAGACTATACAGTGGCGAGACATGTTTGCTTTCCTAGCATCACTTTTAGAACATGTCACAAAATGCCCAAAACTTTACCTCGATCACAATTCACAACTCTATCCTTAGCCGCCTCATTTCAGCTCGAAATACGGGGCTTGAAATCAGTGTTCGGCGAGCAAGACTTCTGATGTCCTCTCGAGAACAGTCCCTTGTTATGCGAACCAGCTCCCAGAGGGCACCTCCATTTATCATGTCCTTTGCATTTACTTCTGAAATTTCAAAAAAGTTGAAAAATAAAGATCCTTGATGGAACCTGTGATGTGTTCGATGCTTCACTGATTTTTGTTGATGGAGAATTCAACTTACCATGCTGTGCCAAATGACACAGTGCGAGCTCAATGTGTCGCCTAATAGGTGCAGCAACGTTGGTAGCATTTTGCACAATCCATGGAAGTGCACCTTCATCAATAAGAAGTGATTTCCCACTTCTTATACCTAAAGTAACACAAGAACTAAGTTGAGATCATTTCGTGCCAGACGCTAAAACTTCAAAATAACACGTCTTAAACCGCGTTCAAACTTCAGAATAAAGAGAGCTGTAGAGAAAGATAGCTAAAAATTCACAGCAGTCAACAAGCAACTATGGCATGCAACAGATCGAAGACTTACCATTACTAGATGCACGGGATTCACATTTTGCGAAGTTGGCAATACCACGTGCAACTTGGGAAAGAACATCTGGATGTCCGCATCTCACCATTCCCAGCAATGCCTTAATTCCACCTTCAGACCTCAGCATTGCTTGCAGTTTATCTGGAAGAAGCATGAGCACGTGTGAAAAGCAGAAAGAACAGCATAATTCAGACATAACCAAAGCCAGATTTAAGTTCAACAGCAACCATGAGCATTACTAGAAGTTATCCCGGAAGCCTAAATGGAAAAGCCACAGGTGCAACAGATCCCGGGAGATGAATTATATAAAAAACAGTAATTCAAATTATACTGAAGATTGGATAATAAAACCATACAACGAAAGAACCAAAAACTTATAAGTAAAAGAGGTGGTAAAAAGATAAAGTGAGATACCGTTCCCACACAAGTTAGCTATAGCTCCAGCAACCATGCGTAGAGTCTGGGGATCCTCAGCATCAGATGCTGTAATAGACAATAAACTGATTCCCCCTTGAACCATTATCAGTTCTTGATTGGCTTCTGCTTTGCGTAAAAGGAAACAATAAACCAATGTAATCAGAATGATAAGACGTATGTACTCAAAATGATAAGGATATTTATAGAAATATTTTACCATTCATTGCGAGATTGGCAATTGCACCAGCTGCTACTCTGCGAACAGTTTCATCCTCGTAGCTTCTTAGAAGTGTTAGCAAGGAAGTAAGACCACCAGCTTCAACAATCCTTTCCTGGTTTGCTTCTGAACAGTAAATGGAAAGTGCCCCTCATTACTCACAACACCAGTAATAGACGGTATCATCATCACAATAATTGGATTTCTTTGAAAGATTTATCTTTTTATAACAGGGGGTAAAGAAGCAGCCTCTTCATACCAAAAGGGGTGGGAGCTTAGCTTGGCCAACCAACATAAGCAGAATACTTAAGTTGCTAAAGCAACAAACAACGCACATAAAATGGTCCAATACTCATTTTATTGCTCACATTTAATTATTTTACCCAAAAGCACCCCTTAATAAATGTATAAGCAAATAACACGCAAGGTCGACAAGCAATTTTCCCAAAAGACAAGACAACTTAAGAAATGAAATGAGAAGCCAAATCTTTTTCTCACCTTCAGCTGCTAGGTTGGCCACTACCTTTACAGCATGAATGCGTACATTTGCATCTTCCGACTCGAGCAAATCCAAGACCTTTTGCACTCCAACTGGTAAATTGATAAAAAGCAATAAGAAATTCATGGACAAAAAACCCTTTATGTGATATTTTGGGGGGACATATTTTATCACCTTGATCGAACAATGCAGAAACTGGTGTCTTATGTCCATCATCACTAACTTGAGACATTGGAGAGTCTAAACCAGTATAAGCATTTCCAGGTCCACCTCTTGAAAGACACCTTCTCATCTACATAATAAAAAAAGGAGATAAGCATATATGTATGCCTG